TCCCCCTTCACAGACACCTCATGGCAAGCAGATCCCAACACAGGTGGCCTAAGCTATGCCTGCAGGAATTCTCTGCCTTCTCCCTGTCCATACGATCAGACCCTTCTTCTTTCTCCCCAGCACCAGATGCTGGAACCGCAGCAGAGGAGGTGGTGCCGGGAGCGGCGGCTGTGGCAGTGGCTGTTAGCCAGCGGCGGGGAGGCCTCTCACCTGCAGACATGCGCCTGTAAATACAAAATAAAGAGCTCTGGGGCTGTTCCTAGTTGGACTGACTGGCCTGTGCCTGGCGATGGAGGGCTCTGAAGGGATTAGACACACCCCAGGTGTGATCCCAGAATGGCTCGTAGGGGCAGGAGGGAACCAAGTCCACACGTGCCCCACAGCGCTAACACCCGCAGCCCCACTCCTGCATAATTCTCCCTATGTCCCTGAGCATATGGTGATTTCTCTCCTCTGGTCCCAGGTGGACCAAACCTGTCTGGAGAACAGTTCTCTCTGTTTACTGGAAGTCGAGGTTGAGCACCAACAGCATGGCCCTTGGAAAACTTTTCCTACCGTCCTCTGGAGTTCCTTTCCTGTTCTCTGTATCTTTCCTTTTCAAATGGAACTCTTAACACAACAGATCTGCCATAGGAAGCTCTCATATCATACACTGGAACTTGCCCTTGCACTTCCCTTTGCCTCTTCTTGGATACGGTGGTGATTGCAAATAGGAAAAAGACGGGGAACAACTAAATGATTGAGAGCAGGAGTGAGAGCAGGAAGAACCTGGTCTTGACTTGGAGTAGGTAAGAAATTCCAGAGTAAGATGAAACACTATAAGCAGACTTGGACCTTTAAACAAAGCACAGCACAAAAGCAATAAATGAAATCAAAGCAGTCACTCTCCCCATTTTTTTTTCTCCCATATTTGGCTTGGTTGGGTTGCTTTTTCATTCTCCATATGCTTATGTCAAAGCTTCTTTCTGCTGCTGACATAAAGCTACTGCAAATTGAAGAACTGGACAGCATGTGAAAGCTTGTGCTTCTGACACAGAACCGCTGCTGCTTTGAGAGTGCAAAAGCACAGAGGAAGGGTAAGCTTATTTCCACTCATTTCTAGCACATGAACTACCACAGCTATTGACCGATTTAAGGTGGTCTCTACTAGTACGTGAACACACACACGTTTCACTACTTGGCATCTACACACACTGCAAATCATTTTTGGTGCAGTAAGATGCAAAAAGAGTAAGCCCTTATGGCTTCAGTGTACTATCAAACAACAAAACACGATTCAGCCCAAAGACAGTAACACTTAGTTTTAAAATGCCAGCTGAGTCGATTTAACTTCACTACTCATTGGGCAATTTGTACAGAATGCAAAATACTTGTATGTCAATACAAGTACAGTAAAAACAAAGAGACGGGGAAGATCTCATTAAACCCACAAAAATGAGGGGGGGGGAAGGCTGTAGATTTTGGGGAACCTCCCCCAGAACCCCATTTTGCCCCACAGAACATCAACATCAGCCATCCCCCAGCCAAAGCCCTGGTCACTGTCCCCAAGCCTCTTCTGGGCAGCTGAGAGACAGTTGGGAGAACCGTTCCTCATTCAGCTGTACAACAGTGCAGCCAGGTCTCAATAGCCACAAAGCAGATGCTCCATCACAGTCTAACTAGCCATTATTGCTGAGCAAACTCACTTAGAAACTAGCCACTGCCCAGTGATAAGCTAAAGGATGAAAACCAATTGCATGAGACCTGAGTTCAGCTAAAACTGAAATCATTCGGATGGATATTCAAAACATTTTGAAGGCTGGCATCATTGGTGCCACTGCCTTTTTCTAAAGTGCCATACCAACAATCAGTCAATTCAGTTTCTAATTTGAGAGTTCATCTGGCCTACCTGCTGACAATCAGCTCCTTTATAGCAGTGAATAATACATTATAACATTTCATATAACATATAACAGGAAAACCTGTACCACCACCAGGTGATTAGGCTTCAGCCAGCCTCGTTTCTGTCACTCCTCTAGGAGACTGCAACAATATGGTACACCTAGTCATCAACCCTTAAGAAACTCCAAAAATACATCCCAGTACTTCAGGGAACTCCACCACATCACCTCAGCAGCATCGACTACCATAAGCAAGTCAAAGCAGCCTTCTGCTCCTGGCACTGGCTTCCCATGGCAATACCAAGTAAATTAATTTGACTCCCCTTCTTATCAGTGGCCTGAGATACAGATCCTTTAAAAATCTGCCTAGAACTCTGTGATGAGATTTGGCTGACAGCTTTTCTTTTTAGGTAGAACTGAGCTTTCTATAATGAGGTGCAGTTATTTGCCCAAGAGATTGAGCTTTCTTGCAGGAAGGACTTAACTTTGTGGGATTAACTGCTGTACAGACTACGTGTCATCTAAAACCTTCACCTGATTTTTGATGCATGCAGAAGGCAAGCTTTCGAGACTCTGCTGTCCCTCAATTGTCCCACAGTCAATTTTAGGGAGTATTGACAAAAGCTGTAGCAGTGGAGGAGAAGGAGAGCTGGTCTATAGTGGGACCAGTTGATGTTGGTCAATGGAAGTAGCTAGTCAGCAGGCAGTCAAGGCAAACAGGCTCCAGACATCAGAATTTCTTAAGTCAGTTCCTTCAAACTCTGCCAACAGCATAGGAAAAGATATTGTGGAAGCAGGAAACAAATCTGCCTTTCCTCCAAAAAAGGCCAAAGAAGAGGGAACTCTCCAAAAATGTGAGACATAAACCTTTATAAAAGACTATGTTCCCTCAACTGCAGCTATGGCATCCAGCCTTACTGCTTGCCCTCTTATAACCTTGCTTGTCCCTTCTTGAAAAGGATTTTTTTATTCCATATTAAAACACTGTACACTGGCAAGAATAAGGCTGAACCTGTTTGTATACTACATGCATTCCTGGATATCACATTTCAAAAAAGTTCCGCTACAGCTCTAAAACCTACAGGAAAAGGTCACATGAATGATGAGAGGAATGCAGTGACTTTCATGCTAGATAAGACATAATAGGGGTAGGACCTTGCATTTTGGAAGAAAAGCAATAGGTATTGAAGTGATAGAGGTCTATAAAATTGTGAATAGCATGGAGGCAAATAGGGAACAATCATACTCTGTTTCTCATCAGAAAGACTATAAAGAATTAACCAGCATCAAATGAAATTATAATATTTTATATTCTAAAATATACACTAGATAACATGTATCTAGTATAGCATTTAAACTATGTAACATTGTTTCACTACATAACAGAGGTCAAAAGTATATGTAACTGGTACAGGAACAGGTCCATTGATTATGGACCATTGATTAATGGACCATTATCATTAAAATGATGACTCGAATGCAACCTTTTGCACTGGAAGTTTCTAAATCTTTGATTTTTCATAAACTGGGAAGTTATGTTGGGGTAAAGATTGTTAAGGAAACGTCCCTATTCTTCAGTAGGTATCCCTAAACAACTATTTCCAACACTGGAAGAGTGGGCAAGATTGACCAATTTGTGTATGATCATCCTGTTGTCCCAACCATTACTGTGGCACGGGGGCCACCTCTGGTACTGGAATTACAATAGAGGCAGGAGGGTTGGGCTGAATGTCAGGGTGGGGGTCTTGGCTGGGACCACAGGTTTGCTCTTGGACTTAGCCAGGTCCTGAGAAGCAGTGGGCATGATGGTGACTACAGGTTGTTGGAAAGGCTGAAGGGGCTTGGTGTCACTGTGTATGGCTCATACACTTGAGATGAACCTGAAGGAGGGTTATGCGTGAGAGCAATACGAATACATCTAAGCATGTTGCTGCGAGAGCTTGAGTTAAAATGATCTTTCAGTTCATAAAGACTGGGTTGGGAAACAAGAATATATAGATTATATCATCTCAACACTGATGATCCTGACAGACAGTTAAAATGTATCTTGCACTTGAAGAGGATGCTAAAACCTGAAGCATCCTCCTGAAAGGAAAGCATTCTCCTGAAGCAGAAAAAAAAAAAAAAAGGCAAAAAAATGAGTGAGGGAATGGGGAAGGTAATTTTTGGTGAGAGAGAAGCTCAACCTGGTTGGTTTACCAAGAAGAGGACTAAGATGATTTGATGATAGTGCACATCATTAGGAGCAGTCAATATACTGGACACCACAGAAGTTCTCATACAAAGAACTTTTTAAGGGAAAGTCAGAAATCTGTGAGTGTGAACACAACTCAGTTTAGAAAAAAAGAACACATTTTTAATCATGAGGGTGAGTGCAGCCACTGGAACAACGTGCTAAGCCTTCAGCTCATCAGGTTTTCATTCCAGCCAGTGTTTCCATCCAAAAGGCATGCTCAATCCAAATACAATACACTGCTCCTGCCCCTGCCAAATCCATCCTTGAGTGTCATATCAGTTTTATCCCCAAACTCTCAGGAGTTTTGGGAGCAGCTGAAACTGGCTGGGTACCACAGTACTGCCCCGACTGGTCCTGTCTCCTCTGGCACCTGTATATTCCTGGCAGTCCGCCTCTCCGCAACCCTTCCCATGCCTAGTGGACACCCCGTGTTTGCAGTCTGCTGCCAACGTGACTGCTTCTGTCGCCAAATAAGCAACTCCTTCACAGGCCGCTGCTCTGCGGCAGCTGCCACCCCCCAACAAACATCCGCACCCACTTGCTTTTCTCCTAACCCTTTCGGGGACACCGAGGCGGAACGCACCTCCTGGGACGGGACATTTCCGACAACCTCCTGTCGAGAGAGCGGGTTTCTCCGCGGCCGCCCCAGCCCTCGGCGCCATCCCCCGGGGGACCGGTGCCCGGGTCGGCGGCCGGCGCCGGGACCCCGCGCGCGTCCGTGCCGCGGGGCTGGGCCCGCAGGGCGCTGTGGGGCGGGCGCGTCTCCCGTGGAAATGGGGGAGCCTCCGGCTCCGCCCCTACGCGTGTCCGTGGGCTGGGGCCAGGCGAGGGAGCAGCCCTAGCCGCCGCCGCCCCGCCCCGCCATGCCGCAGCCGTAGGCAGCCCGCGGCCGCTCCCAGCTGGCGGCCTCCGCGGCCTCCGCAGCCTCTTGGCGGCGGCGGGCCCGGCCCTGGCCCTACCCCGCCCTGCCTGATGGGCAGCCTGCTAAGCGGGGTCAGCTTCAAGGAGCCCACCACGGTGGAGGACTGCGACTCCACCTGGGAGACCGACTCGGAGCCCGAGGCGGCGGCGGAGCCCAGTGGGGAACCGCGGCGGCCGGAGGGGGTGTGCACCGCCGCGGGAGGCGGGGAAGAGCCGGCCCAGCCGCCCGCCACAGACTGCCGGCCCCAGGAGCCCCCGCCGCCCCCGTCCCCGCCGCCGCTGGAGAAAGGAGAGCGGGCAGAGGCGGACGCCAGCATCGTCGAGCAGGTACCGCCAGCACCGGCCGCGACCCCGCCTCGCCCTTCCCGGCGGGCCCGGAGGCCGCACTGCCGGCGGGCCGGGGGAGGCCGGGCGTGGGGCGGCGCTTTGCGCCGGTGTCTCCGCTCTGCGGGGCCGGGCCGGGCCGGGCGCTCCTGCCGCTGCCTCGCTGCGCTCCCCGGAGCCCAGCCGAGCCCCCCGGGCCGGAGCAGCCCCCTTACCTGCCGCCCTCCCCGCTCTGCGGGCCGCAGCAGGGGGGCCGAGCGAACGCCGGCGGCCTGAAGGACCGTGGCGGGGGGACCTTCCCGTGGCGCAGGGCGCGGGCTGTGGTAGCCGGCCCTGCCGCTGAGGTAGAAGCAAGGCGGTTTCTCTTCCCGCCCGCCCCCTCCCCCCATCGCTACTGTAACTTACTCCCGGTAGGAAACCGAGGCCTTGGAGTCGTTGTCAATCCCGCTGCTGCTGTTTCTTGAGGAGGTTCTGCTTTAACTTAAACCTGGCCGTGAACTTGGCCTCTTAATTAAGTGGGTTAAAAAAAAAATCGAAGTATTGGGTCATGCGTGGCAAGGGGTTTGTGACTCCTTGGCGGGTCCGAGGTAAGGAATTTTCAGAGCAAGTTTCTGTCTTTTAAGAAGCTTTGAAAATGCCGACACTGAAGTAAGAAAGGGTTGCTCTGCCAGGAATTTTGCTGGAGTTAGAGTTGAATGCAGGCTGGGCCGGATAGGTCTTTTTGGTTTTTTTGGTACCCTGTTAGATGTATTACGTTTACATTTGTTTCAAAAACTGCAAAATTAAGCATAAGCATTTTTCCCTTTTCTGCAATGGTGATACTGATGCCTGATAACTGAGTGTCAAGGGGTGTTGCTTATTCAAGTAACCATCTTTTGCCTGTAGGTGTGGTCACAGAATTATCTAGGCTGGAAGAGACCCTCGGGATCATCGAGTCCAGCCATCCACCCTACTCTAAAGTACTCTCCTACACCATATCCCCCAGCACCACATCTAAACGGTTCTTAAACACAGCCAGGGATGGGGACTCAACCACCTCCCTGGGCAGCCTATTCCAATGCCCGACCACTCTCTCTGTGAAGAATTGTTTCCTTTTCCTAATGTCCAGTCTAAACCTACCCTGGCGCAACTTGAACCCATTACCCCTTGTCGTATCATCTGTAACTTGGGAGAAGAGACCGACCCCCACCTCTCTACACCCTCCTTTCAGGGAGTTGTAGAGAGCGATAAGGTCTCCCCTCAGTCTCCTCTTCCCCAGACTGAACACCCCCAGCTCCCTCAGCCTCTCCTCATAAGACAAAACTGGTCTTGCAGAAGGAACCACAGAATCATAGAATGGTTAGATTTGGAAGGGACAAATTAAAACAGATACTTGTTTGTCATTAATACGCCATTGGTAAGCAAGAGGCTGGGCAATAATAAAGGCAAATGTCCAGTGTGGTCACAGGGAACTTACTTTTTAGGCTTGATTTTAACCTATTGCATGTATTTTAAGGAGTGGAATGAATTCTTTTTTTTTCCCTTTTGGCCTTGGTTTAGTGTAGAGACTTATGAGATTGAAGAATACAAAAATCTTTGCTGCAGTTATAAAGAAAATGCAAAGAAAATAAAGTTGTTGGTAACAAGTTGAAGTCTCTGTATGCTAAAGCTTTATTTTCTGTTTGTTTTTTAGTTTGTTTTTCTTTAAATGCATGTAGCTTTTTCCAGTATACTCTGAAGTCAATAGGATTATGCCCATTGACCTTGATGGGCTCTGCTTGTTTCAGGTCACAGCTCCCAAATAGCAGGGGGCCGGTACAAATTCTTGTACATGTATATTTTCTCTAAGCAGGTCTTTGTTTTCAGGTTTAGTGGTTCTTCTTACTAGGCTTTAAATTTAATTTCTGAGAAACAGATAATATATAATGGTTCAAGGTGTCAGAACTGCAATTTAGCTTGTCCGTGACTGCTCGTTTTCTTCCCCAGGATGCAATCATAGCAATTAGGTCAATTTACACATGACAAATAGTCCTTGCAAGTAGTATGATTTCCTGTTCAAAATGAGTAGCGTCTTCTGCATTTTCATGTTTGATTACTTCTTTCATCTTGTGCTAGCACTTGCTAAGTTACTTTCAAGTCTTGCATTTGGAAATGACAATCAGCCTGTTGATTTAAATCAAATTCAATTTCATTGGAAGGACATTTCATAGTCTTGCTTTTGTGTTTTATTTTATTTTATTTTTTAATTTAGGTTTAAAATGTGTGGTTTTAAGTATTCAGCAGGGAGATTTTCATTATTTGACCAAATAGTAGGCAAATACATACACTTCTGTACATCTGCGTTCCTGAAATCCATAATGAAAAATAATTATTTTAATATTGCACAAATTCATTATTTAGTGTGTTTGTATATGGTTATTATCTACTTTCTAACTGTTTCAGAGTGGTGATGGAACTGAGCTGACAGCCAAGCCAAAGAGAAGCTTCTACGCAGCAAGAGATTTATACAAGTACCGACACCAGTATCCAGTAAGAATATTTTATGGTTTGAAATTGCCTTTTTAGTAGAAAATAGCACACAACCCAAACATTCCTAAATCTTTATGATCCCTAATAAACATGAGAAGTGAAAAGAATCAAAAAGCTGATGCAGAGGCCCAACATACACCAGTGGGACAAGACTGAAACTAGTGCAGTATCATTTAATCCCACGTGTACATGTAAACACATTAGGTGTTGTCATGGTTTAACCCCAGCCAGCAGTTGCTCCCTCACTCCTTCTTTTCCCCCACCAAGAAGAGGAAGAAGAGAAGGGCAAAGGAAAAAAAAAAAAAAACAAACCTGCAAACCTGTGGGTTGAGATAAAGACAGTATAATGGAACAGTAATGGAAAAGGGAAGTAAAACCAATAACAATAACGGTAAAAGAACATACAAGATGCACATCACTCTCACCACCTGGTGAATTGGTTGCCCAACTTGACCTGAGCAGTGATTGCGGATCCCCGCTCCCCAGCCCACCCCCATTTATATATGGCCATGATGTCTACGGGGTGGAATATTCCATTGCTCTGTCTAGGCTCCTTCTCAGTTTCTATGGTAAGCTGAAACAACTCCTTAAATAATATAAACACTGAAACACAACAAGCACTAGAAAGAAAATTAACTGTCTCCCAGCTGAAACCAGGACAGCTGGGAACAGCAGTAGGAGCCCAGAAGATGGCTTGTGCCTTGGAACATCAAAGATGGTGGAGGAGAGTTTGGACTTCCTGTTATTTGCATGTTGGAAGCTCCTTGAGACCAGAGTCAAGGTATTGTTGTGCTTGCTGCTCTAACTTCTGCCTCGGTAGGAGAAGGTAACAGCCAGAAGGAACTTGCAGATCCTTAAACTGAATCTTTAAGTGCATGAGTAATTCTAAGTGATTTCCAGTTTTCATGAAACTCAGAAATTTTTTTGTCCTTAAATTATTCAGAGACCACAGTATCACTTTCTGGATATTCTTGATAGGTGTTTCTAGGCTGATAATGTCCTATTTGCTTTCTTTCAGCAGAACTTTAAAGATCTTCGATATCAAAATGACTTGTGCAATCTCCGCTTTTACAAAAATAAAATCCCTTTTAAACCTGATGGTGAGTAATCTGTGGCAATAATAAAGATAACAAAAGAATGCTTGCTAATAATAGTAACAAAGTGAAACTGTAGTGATAATTGTGGTGCTAACAAATTAAAGGTGTTTAGTTATCTGCTGTATGACTTGAACCTCCCATGTTGGAGTAATGTTGATAACATGGGAGCAGGTTTTGCTTAAACCAGAGTTTGCTTTTGCTCTAGGGAGGTAATGCTTTTCTCATGCATTTTCAGCATGATGTAATACAGGGTGTTGTTTGTACCACTGTTTTACAGTAGTGGCTCTGCCTCTTATCAAAGAAAGATAAAGTTGCTCCGCTGTGCTGCACAAACTCTTGCTGCTTGTATAAGAGCAGCAAGGATATGGGTGTTATCCCTAGCACTGTGTAAGGGAAAACAAATGCGTTGTAACTACTTCATGTGTGATTATTATACTAATAATAAAATATTTTCTCGAAGTGTCTAATGGTCTAGTAGAGGAGCAGGAACCTCATATGAAAGGTTCTGCACAAACACAGGATGAGCTAAAAGAGGACAAACCCTGCTGTAAAGAGTTTGCAAATGAAGTATGGGAGATGAGAGGGTTGCAGACAGGTGGTGAAGCAGGAGGCAATAAACTAGTCTTAGAATGGTAGACAGGAGTCTCAGCACATGAGAGCTTAGCCGTTGGCACAAAAAAATTTTCAGGCCAAAAATAAGCTTTTTAGAGTATTAAAAGAATGATGAGGAGGAACTTTGAAGGTATTTGCAGAAAGATCCTCTCAGCATGAAAGCAGCTTGGGAGGAAATACCAAAGTGCACGTGGTAGTGCAGTAGAAGCGGGAGTGGAGGCTGCCATTGAGGCAGGATCAGTCTCATAGCAACAAATGGGTTCTGATAAGGTAGGAAGGGACAGGTCACAGAAGGCTTTGGAAGCAAAGGTGTATAGCTTTTGTCTGATGTTACAGAAAAGGGCTTCACAAGGGAAGAATGCAAAGCAAAAAAAAAAAAGGCAATATACAAAAAAGCTGCAGTCTAGAAACATGATCTTACCAACAGCATTCAGGGTAGATGTAAGCATGACAAGAGGGCACTTCTCAAGGTCAGGAAATATGATGTTGAGATGCAAAATGTCAAAGTTCTGGTAGGAAGCTGGATGGGAAGACATGTTATATAGAAGGATGTAAAGATGTACATATAGGACATTTGAAGATCAGCTGTTTATAGGCAAGACAGTGATAATATGCTTAGCAAGTGAGAAAACAAGTCAGGTTCTGTGAAAGAAAGATAAGACCTTTGTTTTAATCATCTTGAACTCAATATCCACAGGCAGATGCTGAAGACTGTGTTTTAGCTTGACTGGAAGAAGAGTTATATCAGTGAATTACCGGTACAGAGGTAGCAAATTTAGGAGATGTTACACAGAACAGGTACCTGAGGACCACCTGAACCTAAAATAGAGCCAGAAAAGGTTGGGGGGAGGAGGGGGAAGGGAAGGATCCTTTAAAGTGTAAAATGAAGGAGCAATTCAAGAGGATTGATCACAAGAAGAGACAGTCATGAAAGCCAGAGGAGGGCTTCCCCCCTAAAATTTGTAAAGAATAAAATTTCTCTTAATGTTTTAGGAGAAAACCACAGTTGCTAGTGTCAATGGTAGCTGATAGGCCATGGAGGCGGAAGTGTTGATATGGCTATGAGCCATAGTTATGTAGAAGTTTTTATTGAGAATGGGAAAGAGCAGCACCACCTTGACCTAAGTCTGGGGATCTGAGAGGGTGTTCAGAAGGAGTCAAAGCTACCATGTTAGGTAGCTACTGAGGAATGTTACTAAAATAAGACATTTCTAGTGCAATACTAGTTCTGAAGTTTAATTTCATAACCTACAGATTTAGCTTGTGGTTCTGAGTTGGAAGTAGCCTGATTATCAAGTTTTCCAATACTTGAAATTTAGGTTGGATACAGTGTGGTGATGGCGGGAGGTCTTCCTTGCAAGGTCCTCTTCCAGCCTTGCCTGCACTGGAAGCCTCATGTTCTTAGCAGCTCCTTTGACTGGCCGCTTTTTCCATTTCTTGAAGAAAAGTACCAAATGAGTTCTTCTTTGTCATTGAGACCCAAGTGGAAATTTTCACCAGAGGGACAAAGAGAGATCTTAAATGTATCGTAGGAGACTTATCTGTGTGGGGCCTTGGACTTACTAGGCCATTCCTGTGCTATTTGACTTTGGGAGAGGCTGTGCGGCAGTGGTAAAACTGTTGTTGGTTTCGGAGTAGAAACGGACTAACATTGAGCGTTCATTCATGGAAATAGATGATTTTGGAACAATTAACATCCTTTTACGTACTTTGTGTATTTGTGCAGTGCCTGGAAAAGTGCCCTGGCCCATGACTGAATTTCATGAGCATGGTCTCAGTATGAAGAATGATTAATTTCCTTTTACATGTACTTTGTCCCCTGTACTTTATTGCTGTATCTTTCCAAGAGAAACTGACTGAACTCCACAACTTTTGAGATCACTAAAAGCTGAAATTCTTACTTGTTGAGCATGACCTGAGAGAACCCAAGGTCAAACTCATAACAATGGCAGCAAGACTCTTGGCCACAGCTAATTGTGAAAGATTTCCCAATTGTAATGTTATTTGTAGCTGGAGAGATTCCTGGAATAGGACAATTCTTAGAGTTGAGGCTTTCTTCTACGAAGATTATATATATTTATTTCTATATATATATATATGTATGTGCAATGTTTTGTCATCTTAAAGCTAGGACAGGTGACTCACCATGCGATATTTTATGTGAGAGGTTTGCTAATTACCAGTCAGTGTGATAAAGGGATTTAGGAGAACTTTTGGCGAAGTATATTTTACAGAGGTTATTGTCACATACCCTCTGCTGGTAACTAACTCAGTATAAGCCAGTTGGTTTTGTTTACATTGAAATCCAATAAATCTCTTACTTTTAATTAAGTTTTAGTAAGTAAATTAATTTTAAAATGAATGTATTTATGGCTGTAATAGACCTTATTTCACATAGTATGTGCTAGAGAATTAAAGCATGTATTCTATCATTATGTTAACTTTGCATGTACTTTATGTAGGTGAATGCTGGTTTTGATGGCTACTTAACAGTTTTCAAATTATTTTTATGCAGGAGTTTATATTGAAGAAGTCCTAAATAAATGGAAAGGAGACTATGAAAAACTGGAACATAACCACACTTATATACAGTGGTTGGTCACTTATTACCTATTTCTGTTTCAAAACATGATTTTGATTAAGTGTTCTTATTCTCTGCGCCATAATGCCCTTTTTCTTTTAACAGGCTTTTCCCACTGAGGGAACAAGGTCTGAACTTCTATGCTAAGGAATTAACTACATATGAAATTGAGGTAATACAGATTGAGCTCAATACAAATCATCACATTAGATTTGATACATAACTGCTTTTTGTTATGTAGAGTTGTTTTATACAATGCAGAAATACTTGCTTTAGTGCCATTTAGAATTTTGGATATATTCTTTGTTTATTAGGAATTCAAGAAAACAAAAGAGGCAATCAGAAGGTTCCTTTTGGCATACAAAATGATGTTGGAGTTTTTTGGAATAAAACTAATTGATAAAACTGGAAATGTAGCACGAGCTGCTAACTGGCAAGAAAGATTTCAACATTTGAATGAGTAAGTAATGGCATGCACTCTACTTTCTGGAATTGCCATAGAATCTCTTTAGCCTTTTGTTTTCTAGAGAAAGGGAAGATATATTTTCCAAAGATTGCCAGGAAAAAGAGAAAACGAAATAGTCAATGCCTGCTTTGTTTCTGTATGCGTACGTTCTTCCTTCCCCTTTTTTTTGATTCTGCTTCTCGCCCATTACCAGTCTTAACTGACATCATTGAATTCCCTGAAAATCAAACTTCAGATAGTGCTGAAGAAGATCTCAGTTCCAGATGAGTTTGTCGTGCTAGTGAGCACATTTTCATCTGATCCCAAAGCCCTGCTTCTCAGTTGAAAAGAAAGTCGCTTATCTTTGTATATGCATTTTTTCTTGAGAAAAATCAAATTCTCCACACCTGTATGGAAGCTAAACAACAAGATTTCACTCCCTTCTCAAAACATGAAATATTATTTATTTAATACTTGTTAATTGCAATGCTTAAGTGGAGAAATGTAGACATGCATTAAGTCAAACTTTAGCCCAGCTTTCTGCAAAATAGCATGTGTTGCTTTTTCATCGGCATTGTGTAGAGCATAGGTTTGCACTGAATTTGGTCCCATGTGGATCAATTGTGTCAAAATCTCTTTTCAAATCTTGCAATTGCTTTTGTAATACCTCTGACCTTAGAGCTGAAGATTGTTTTCTTGCAGTGTTTTGTTCTCCCATCCAAATAAAAGTTTGTAGGTATAATTGCTGATGGATAATTATGGGTGAATAATGGGAATCATTTGTTATTAACTTTACTTAAATATTATATGAGCCAATATAGGTGTGGACTCAGACTCAGGCAACTGATAAAACAGGGTTTCAGGAAGCCAAGATGTTACTCACTGATCGTTTTTATGCTGTAATTCCTATATTCTCACCAGTGAGGAGCTACATAGTTTTAAGTTGGGAATTGGAGCTCTTTTTATGTAATTTAGCCTTCTAAAATTTAGGCATTTACTGTTTACTGAAGTATAGTTTATGAGGGAAAGAGCTCTTCACAAGGACTTCCAGAAGACAGTTCATTCTGTTTATCTTTTACACTTCTTACGACTTGCTCTGCAGAGGTGCCCGTTTTTCTCCCAGCACCAACTGCATCAGAAGTGGAGGCAGCTAGTCTACACTGGAGACCCAGCTTTATTTAAAAAAAAAAGTAAAGTGCAATGAATCCTGTTCTGTAGTTAGTTGTATTAGTGCAATACACTACAAGCCCCCATATTTTATAAAGTGACTAAGTTTTCTCCTCAGAATACATACAACAGAAGAAATGAAAATCAGTACACGCTTTGATTTTTTTTTTTTTTTTCAGCCTGTTGCCTCAGTGCATTTTACAGACACTAATTTTCACTCACAACATCCTAGCAATGGGGGTGCTAACAAGCTTCAGCAGCTGTGAGAAATTAAAGTACAGGAAGCCTGAAGTACAAACTAGGAGTGATAAAAAAGAATGAGGAGTTGCAGTTCCAGTTCTGTATCTGTAAGGTGGTGGGTTTTTTCTGATTCAATGGAATTTTTTCACCTTTTTCTTCCAAAGGTCTCAACACAACTACTTGAGAATCACTCGAATTCTGAAAAGTCTTGGTGAGCTTGGATATGAGAGTTTCAAATCTCCCCTAGTAAAATTTATTCTCCATGAAGCTCTTGTGGAAGATACCATTCCCAACATTAAGCAAAGTGCTCTAGAATATTTTGTGTATACTATTAGAGACCGAAGAGAAAGGAGGAAACTCCTGAGATTTGCCCAGCAACATTATATGCCCTCAGAGCATTTCATCTGGGGACCTCCACGAAAACAGAAGTCAGAGGGAAGCAAAACAAATAAAAAGCCAGCATCTCCAATTTCTTTTCACAATAGTTATATTTCTAAGCATAAGAAACCAAAAGAGCCTAAGAATACAGTGGCAAGCGGAAGCTCAGCTGGTAAAACAACTGAAGAAAGAAAGGTAGAACTCACAAAAAATGGGGAAGAAAATGACCAGGATGAACAAGAAATGAACTGTGATGCTGTTAGGCAGAACAGTGAAAAGAATGGTGATACTGATACCAGTCAACTTTCAAAATCAGAACAACTTTACAATACTTCAGACAGAAAGGACGCTTCTCATTCCAAAAAGGATGAGGAAAATCTGAACACTGACTGTGGAAATCACTCAGGCACTATAGAGAAGGATTTATGTGACACTGAGAATTCTTCAAATAACACGTCAGCGGATCTACAAGATAACCTCGAGAAGGATACGCTTCCAGGGGGGACCACCACAAAAAACCAGGATGAGCTCAAATCATGAGTCTGACGTTAATAATCATTAAGTTTCATATTGATGAAGCAAATTATTCATTGCTCCTTCATTTTGGGTGAAGTTTCCATCTACTGTTCATGAGGCTGTGCTTGTTGTGAATGCATCAGATTAGGCTTCTGTTAGGTTAATTAATTTTATTTTTCTCAACCTCAGTTTATCAGCAGTCAACCAGGTGTGGCTTTTTAAAAGAATCATGTATATTCAAATTAAAGAAATTAATTATCTTTTCCAGATTGCATAAAAAGCTTATCTATTTTTTTGCCATTAAATTAATCCAGTATTTTTTTCTTTAAAAAAAAAAAAAAGTGTAACTTACTAAATGCCTTGGAACATCAGAATTCTTAGGTTTCTTTTAATATGCTTTGAGTATTGATTTGCTTTTATGAAATGACTAGAAATTGTTTTCAAGAGCACAGGTTTTTTCCCTAGTGGATATTTATTTTTAGAAACCATGTTCATATTTAATGGCAGTATTTGCACAGCTTCTTTTACCTTTTGGGTACAAGGGAAGTTGCACTTTAGACTTTTAGTCCCTGTAAAGTTCTCTCTTCTCTTGACTTAGTTGTTACTACTGAAAATTTGCAGGGAGGGATCTCTGATCACTCGGATTTGGTCTCAGTGTGAAAGCTTTCTGTTTATCAGCTGTACTACAACAATTTCCCCAGCTGGGTTCAGCACCCAGAAAGCCTCTGGATGGCTGAAAAGCAGTGTCTTTACCACAAAGCACTGCTTAATCATCAAAGCCATCAGAGGAAATGTCACAAGGCATGTCCAGATGGATCTTACCTGAACTTGAGTGTTTTGTGGCCTGTTATGGGTAAGGTCTGCGCAATGCTGAATACCCTGTTGCTGGTCTGGAAGAGGAAGGCAGTCCTGATGCTTCCTTCCATCTGTCTGTTTCCTTTCTTTGCTGTCTTTCACAGCTTAATGTTATTTTGATAATTGGCTGAAACCTGAGCAGGCCTGGCTGGAGCCCAGCAGGTAGAAATTTCCCAAATAAGATCTTTCCCAACTTTCTTCACTGAAGGACTGTCTGCTTTCCCAGAGTAGCCTCTTCTGCCTTCATGCCATTCAGTCAAACAAGATTGTACCCAGCAAGTTAATTGTGTAGAATACGAATTAAAAAATAATGCAGGTAGAACTCACACTTTCTACAGTCCTAAAACAATCTAAAATTCCTGTATGTATTTTCTATTTTAAAGTGTATATATTATCCATCGCCTTTAACATATTTTCTATGAAACATGAGGCAAGTGGCTGACTACAGTTTGAGTGTCAGAGTGCTTCAGGAGTTCGTTCAAGTCTTATAACTCAAAATGAGAAAGTCTTCAGGGGTTGCAGAGCATAGACAAAATGTCTTGTATTTTTCTGTTTCACTAATTCCCATTCTGGCAGCGCATCATCCATTGCTTTCCCCAGTAGCTCTGTTTCTTGGGATCAAATAGAGTGACAGTTAGAGCTTGGTACTCATGGAAAAAGATTAGGCTCTTTCCATCCTAAAGATGCAGGGGAAAAAGGAAGATGTATCCTTCCTTCTGTGTTGACTTCAAAGGAAAGGAAAGTATATATGTGTGAGTTTTTTTAAGGCTAACCCAGATTGTTCAAGCAGGCATTGAGTCTGTCTGAGCAGAAATGCCCTAGAGAATTCCTCCTGCAGCCACCACTTCTTTAACACTGGAAAGATGCTAAGAAGCCTTTCACAATGCCCTGGACTTCAACTAGGATCCGCTTGTCCTTGTTTGCCTCTGACCTTCAGAGCAGAAGGGGACAGGAAATGCTAAGATGAAGTTGGTCCATGTAGGCAAGGACTCTGACCCTACGTGAATGCACAGGGAGGACAACTTTATGTGCTGCCTATGACTTTTGAAATCTTGAGTGCCTAACTGTGCCAACTTAATAGTGCTGTTTTTACGTAGTTATTTCTTGAATGACATAGGGAAGATTTATACCCTGTGTATGAGGAACATATATTTCCTATAAGGAATATATAAAAAACATATATATTTCCTGTAAGGTAGGAAATTATACAGAGCCTTCAATTTATGGACTTTAGTATTAAGGCTAAACACTTAAAAAAAAAAAAAAAAAAAAAAAAAAAAAAAA